TGGGGTCCACGTGGGCAAGAGCAGCTGGGGTGCTGCGGGGTTGGTCTCGGAGCCCTGAGGGGCGGCGCTACCAGACCAACCCGGCAGCACCCCAGCTGCTCTGCTCCCGGCTTCCCCCATTCAGCTGCTGGGCAGGTTCCCTGCCGGGTTGGTCCCGCAGCCCCGAGGGGCAGCGCTACGAGACCAACCCGGCAGCACCCCAGCTGCTCTGCTCCCGGTTCCCCGATTCAGCTGCTGGTCAGTTTCAGCAGCAGCTGAATGGGGGAAGCCTGTCCGGCTGCCCCAGCACTTCCGGGTTCCTGATGGTGCCGAGCTATCAGGAGTCCCGGAGCATTGGATGCCGGACTAATGGAGTTTTACTGTATAAAGCACCTCACTTGCTGCAAGCAGAGATATGATAAGTAGTTAACATGTTCAGATCTTTAGGATGGGCTATTAGGTTCAGTCAGAGGCTGACTCCGGGTCAGGATTTAGGTTCAGATTTGATAGTGCCAAAAGGTCATAGAATCATAGAACACTAGATCTGGAAGGGACCTTGGAGAGGTCATCAAATCCAGTACCCTGCCCTCATGGCAGGACCAAGCACCATCTAGACCATCCCTGATAGATGTCTACCTAACATGCTCTTAGATATCTTCAATGATGGAGATTCCACAACCTCCCCTAGGACCTAGGAAATTTATTCCAGTGTTTAACCACCCTGACATAGTTAGGAAGTTTTTCATGAACAGGTGCTAGATAGTCCTGTTTTTTGTTCCAGCTACCCCAGACTAACACGGCTACATTTCTATCTCAGGTCTTACAAGGATTCTGCCACTCTAAGCCAAAATCTCACAGGGGTCTGACATTATTACAGCCACCCATTAAATTGGACATGAATATACAGGCCCGGGCAAAGGATTTGCGGGGCCCAAGGCAGGATGCCGGGAGCAGGGCCCCAGGCCTGCCAGTGGATGGTGAATACTCAGCAGCACAGGGCCCCAAAAGAGTGGGGACCGAAGTATTTGCCTTGCTCACCTTGCCCTAGGGCCGGGCCTGTGAATATAGGCACATTTCAGAAGGAGGCTGAACACAGAACCAATACCAAAGGGCTGGCTGGGATCTGCCGAAATGGCAATCAAAAGGTAATGCTTTACAGTGTTGTCTTTGATGAACTATAAGGGTCTACAAGCTGGAAAATATCCAGAATCAGGAAGAAAGAATCTTGACTTAAAGAAACAACCGTCTCAGTGATCTTTTAAATGGCTTGGTGCATTCATTCTCATAATTTAAAGTGGCAGAAGAAGAGGCTAATGTACATGTAGTTCATTATTTTTCATTACTAGGGTCCAAAAATACACCTGTTGAAATCCACTTTCCTCTCTTATACAGAACAGTTAAACAGGTTTGATGAGCTTTGATTTCCTTCATTATTAGGTAACAACGGCCTGATCCAAAGCCTACTGAAAGTCAACGGCAATGAGTTCTGAGTGCATAGTGTTTTACAGGTGCATCTTATGCATTTTATTTGCCACCTCTTAGAGAACCCACTGAAAGCCTTACCTGACCAATATCTCCTTAAAGACTAACAAAACACGTAGATGGTATCATGAGCTTTTGTGGGTACAACCCACTTCTTCATGTTAGTCTTTATGGTGCTGCTAGACCATTCGTTGTTTTTTAAGTTTTTCCAGTTATAGACTAACTCAGCTACCCCTCTGAAGCTTCTGACCAATATCATTAAGAATATTACCGTTGTGGGGTTTTGTTTGTTAAATAGTTGAATCAGGCTCCTAACTGAATGGATACTTACTACCCTGTCAGACAGCAAGCACCTGGCAACTCAGACATGGGCAACATTACACCAGGGTATAGAGAGTCTCATGATTTGGCAACTCTCTGCCTCACAGCATGAAGTTTGTGTCAGATGGTGTAGTGCTGCCTACGGACTAGACACAGAAAGAGAAATCAACCTTTTCCAGAAGGTATCCTCTGCGGAGGACAGATCACGTAGGATGCAGCAGACCAAGACTCTGCTGAACTGTTAAGCAATCGCTTGTAAGGTTTAACAAGAAAAAAAAAGAAAAAAAAAAAAAGAAACCTTCATTCACCCTGAAGGGCTACATGGAACTCTAGTGGTAATGCTGCTGAAGTCAGTGTGGCCACAAGGGGTGTGCCTAGACTACAGGGTTTTGTTGACAAAAGTCGACTTTTGTCGACAAAACTATACCTGCGTCTACACTACCACCGAGTTCTGTCGACAGTAAGTCGACAGAACGCAGCAGTTTTGTCAATAGCGTTAAACCTCATTCCATGAGGAATAACGCCTTTTGTTGACAGAGTTCTGTCGACAAAAGGTGCTATTGCATCCACACTGTGCTTTTTCAAAAGAGAGTGTCTAGACTCTGTCGAAAAAGCGGCTTGCTTTGTCGAAAGAACTGGCTGTAGTCTAGATGCTCTGTGTCAACATAGGCTTTGTCAATAGTATCTGTCGACAAAAGCCTGTAGTCTAGACGTACCCTTGGTGAGGCACCATAGTGCTAAGTAACCACCACCAAAGGTAAATCCAGCCCAATACATATGGATAAGGGCACAGATTTACTTAGACTATGAGCTCTTTGGGGGCAGGAACGGCCTTTGGTGCTGCATAAACACACAACAAACACAACGGGGTCCTGGTCCATCTCCAAGGGGCTACCACGATATCAGTAAATAATAAAACTTACGATTTATATGACAAGAGTTTGCATCTTTCAAGTCCTGTCTCTCTCACATCAGTGACTTGCAATTTAGCCCAAATACACTTGGATGGGACCGTCACCTGAGCCTTCAAACTTGATCCCTAATTAACGACAGGGTTGCTATTATAGGGCACAAATCCCTGTCTCCGTGGTTGAAGATAATGGCTCCCTTTGACTCCAAGCCTCTGCCAGCCCACAACTGAGCACACAACCTGGGTCTCCCTGCCAACAGAGTCTATGGATCTGACACCAAACAGACAGACTGAAAGCTACTTACTGTTCTTGAGTGCGCTGGCAAACTCTTGCCCCCCTTCCTTTTTAAATGCCGGGAATATATCTGGCTGTGGAAGCTGGTTGGCCGTTAAAAGCGCTTTCTGAAGTTTGATTCTCCCTTCTAACAGCTGGTCCCACAGGGCTTTAAAACACAGAGGAAATGAAAAGTGGATTACATTGCCAGAACATTTATTCACTTACTTTCCTGTGGTCCTGCCTCCTAAGACTCCGTGAATCAGGACGCATCAGCCACCTCACTCTGCTCTCCTTCCTCAGCAGCACTTTCCTATGTCAACCACACTTTGCAAATGGAGACTCATGATTTAATGGGACAACTAGACAGTGGCCTAAAAGCTTCTCAAGGCTTCTGTTAAAATTTGCAAGAGAAATTTAAATTAAGGAACGGCCAAAGCCCAGGTTAAATACAGCTCCATCATTTGACGTAAAAATTGCCAAACAGCAAGGAGACGGCACGCAGCACCAGTTCAGCTGCCACATATTATATCATGCCCTGCAGGGCAAAATCTGGGCTCCAGGGAGGATGGGACCTGTGATGGGGGTAGGGTATCAACTACAGAATCTCCACAAGGAGGGAGCAGACAATCAGCATGTCATGGTTAACACCTGCACTGATGGGTTGTCATCAGCAAGCTAGAAGCTTCTGGGTTAGCTGAGACAACTAGCCATAGAGGCCAATGAAGACATCTTTAATCACTATGTACACCTACATTAGAAAACGCTCATCATAAAGGTAGCGAGGAGGGTGTTCAGTTTCCATTGTAATTCCCACTAAATCTAAAATCTTCCATTCTGGAGGACAGCGCTCATAAAGGGGTAGAAAACTGGCACCCCCTTTCCAGCCAACACACTGGGACGGATTACTAAAGCATGCCAAAACACCAACTCGTATCTGAGTCCCAAGCAACACATATAGTGCAATAAGTCCTTGTTTACATTGGTGCCATACCACTGCTCAACAGTGGTTCAGCTCAACCAATTGCTGACAGAGTATTAGTTTAAGTCTGCAGCACAGACCAGGCCACAGTCTATGTAGCACAGCTGGTAGAACACCTGCTGTAAGCTCTTAAAACTACTCCAGGGGGTGTTGCAACATGCAAATGGGTCAAAAGAGTTCCTAGCACAGTTAATTTCTCTAGCATAGACAAAGCATAAGCCTCTTCAAAATACAAAGCAAATTCTATGTACAAACCTAGTTGGTTTTGCACAGCTTTTCCCTTTTCTACTTCTTCAGACACTTTTTCTTTAGAGAAGGTTACCACCCCCCCATCATCCTCGCTCTCTTTGGCATCTGCCACGTCCTCCTCATTTTCATCCCCAGATTCTTCTTCGTTGCTCCCTTCCTCTATGCCGGCATCCTCTTCCTCCTCCTCCTCGTCACTGCTCCCCACCTCATCCATCCCTTCTGCAAATTTCTCAAAGTCACTGATGTTCTGGAAACTGAACTTTGGTGTTTGGAGCTGGGCAGATGTTTCTCCCCCTTCCTCTTTGTCATTTCCCAAATCATCCTGATTGCTGCAACGCTCATCATCCTCATCCGCGGTAGCATCTAGAGTATCATCATCCAGTTCTTCCTCCAGATCTCCACTATCAAAGCCGTCATCCTGATCGCTGCAACGTTCATCATCCTCGTCCGCGGTAGCATCTAGAATATCATCATCCAGTTCTTCCTCCAGATCTCCACTATCAAAGCCTCTCTCCGATGAGGTTTCTTCATCTGATAATTAGAAAAGGAGATATTTAAACAGTGTTATTTCATCACAAACGTCCATTACCAGCATACAATTGGTCTGGCCTAGTTTAAGCCATTAGGGATAAGTATAGGCACAATTTTGCTCCTTCCTTAGGCTAACCAAGGGGCTTATAAGGATACATCTGCAAATTGAAACCTTAGTTCACACTTTTTTGCAGGAACATTGATTAGCTGACAGACTTTCCCATTTAATAATGAAGCAATGTTAAGCAAACAAAGTGCTCATGCTTTGTTACACGTTTCTTTATAATGAGAAATTGTACATAAGCACTAAGCCACTACAGTTCTCAAGGGCTGACAATGTAAAGATGGCAGGTATTTCCACACAGAATTCCCGCCACTTTCCTTGCCAGGTAACTTAAGTTGGCTGAATCTTTTGTACCTGAAAGTTAGTTACTGCCCTTCCTTCTTCTGCACAGAGCAGTCACGGTCCTGGAGACTTCCCTTCCCCCAGAGCTAATGAGTTCAGCAAAGCACTTAAGAAGCCAAGCTTAACTCTGAGCACATGAAGTCAATGAGACTTAAACATTGCTGAGCTGGGACTCCTAGCACCGTGCAGAGCTTCCCTGTATTAGCATTCCATTTACTCCTGTATTTGTGGCAGTTTGGATGGGGGGGGGAATGAATTTCTCACCAAATGCTGCTCCAGGCAAAGACTCTCTCCACTGTTCTTCCTGCAAGGCTTTGCGAGAGACAGCTCTCCCGCTGTACCTCTTATCAGCTTCTAAGAGGGAGGCAAAGGCTTGTTTCCGTATATTGCCAACGGCAAGGACGTCCTCTTCCGCTCCACCTTCATCAAACTTGTCGATCACTCTGGCAGCAGTGGCTGGGAAGAGGAGAGGGAATTTAATAGTGCAGGGTTACTTAGTTAATAGTGCAAACTAAGTGCATAATTCAAGCTTGTGAAACAGGATAGAGATTCTATCTACGACTGCCAGAAAGCAACCTGGTTTAAATACCTATATCCTCTGTGGATCCAGGTGACAAAAACTAGAGACCTTGCATTCGACATACACTGGCCTTTAACACATGAGTTAAAGGACAAGTCATATTAGGACTTCTACAAAACTGTCCAAGAAGTCACCTGAGTGCACACAGCCCACTAACTTCACTTTTGGAACCAAAACTCTTCAATACCTATCTGACTCTCACCAACCATGGAGGGGCTTCTCCCAGGGTCACCACAAAGGTAGTAAACCTCCTGGTGGACAAAGGACAAGCTTTTCATGCTTCCAAAAAAAATCGGATCAGGTTCATACAACTTCATTAAGAGCATTTTAACAAAGACCCACTTATATCCTCTGAAGGCCAAGTTCTAAAGGCCAACAGATTGCACAGCTTGCGCACAGAGGTCGAATTCCACTCAATAGGGGAGAGCGGAGTAGTATATTCAGGCCTGGTTACAATCATTTGGGTCATTAACAATGAGCAAAAAGTGCAGCAATCTCTCTTACATATGGACTCCTTCTCTATTAAGAAGAAGGGCTCAAAATCATTATTAAGGGCCCCAGAGCAAATTATTCCACTGCGTAGGAAAGACAGAAATATAGAAAGTATGGTAGGAGACTACCTTGGATCAACCAAGAAATCTTTTATGATCTAAAAATCTAAAAGGAGTCATATAAAAAGAGGAAACTAGGTCAAATTACAAAGAATGAGTATAAGCAAACACAGGTATGCAGGGGGAAGATTAGAAAAGCATAACTGGCTGGATAACCAGTCAGAGTAGTTACTGACATTTCACAATCATGCTGGAAGGGCATAACAAGCGGGGTTCTGCAGGGGTCTGATTTGGGAGTGGTTCTGGTCAACATCTTCATCAACGATTTAGATGATGGCATAGAGAGCATGCTTATTAAGTTTGCAGATGATGCCAAGGTAAGAGGGGTTGCAAGTGCTTTGAATTTTGACCATATTTTCCAAAATGATCTGGACAAACTAGAGAAATGGTCTGAGGTAAATAGGATGAACTTTAATAAGGATAAATGCAAAGCGCTTCACTTAGGAAGAAACTATCAGTTTCATACATACAGAATGGGAAGTGACTGTCCAGGAAGGAGTACTGCAGATAGGAATCTAGGGGTCATAGTGGACCAGAAGCTAAATATGAGTCAACGGTGTGATACTGTTGCAAAAAAAGCAAACATGATTCTGGGATGCATTAACAGGTGTGTTTTGAGCAAGACACAAGAAGTCATTCTTCCTCTCTGCTCTGTGCTGGTTAGGCCTCAGTTGGAGTATTGCGTCCAGTTCTGGGCACCGCATATCAAGAAAGATATGGAGAAATTGGAGAGGGTCCAGAGAAGAGCAACAAGAATGATTAAAGGTCTAGAGGACATGACCTATGAAGGAAGAAAAGGTCTAGAAAACATGAGCTATTAGGGAAGACCGAAAGAACTGGGCTTGTTTAGTTTAGAAAACAAGACAGAGAGGACATGATAGTGGTTTTCAAATATCTAAAAGGGTGTTACAAGGAGGAGGGAGAAAAATTGTTCTCCTTGGTCTCTGATAGGACAAGAAGCAATGGGCTTAAATTGCAGCAAGAGAGGTTTAGGTTGGACATTAGGAAAAAGTTCCTAACTGTCAGGGTGGTTAAACACTGGAATAAATTGCCTAGGGAGGTTGTGGAATCTCCATCACTGGAGATATTTAAGAGCAGGTTAGACAAACACCTGTCAGGGATGATCTAGACAGTGCTTGGTCCTGCCGTGAGGGCAGGGGACTGGACTCAACGACCTCTCGAGGTCTAGTCTATTCTATGATTCTATTGGGAAGCAATAGGTCACCTCACACAGGCCACTCAACAGCCATCACATGGGAACAACCTTTGGTCACTGCTCTAACCTAGCCTGGATTCATACCAGTGACAGTAGAGAAAGCAGTCCTGATACCCTCTTACAAATCCGCCTTTCCCCACACTGTAAGGGAAAGTGACTTCAAAGCTCAGCTGTGTGGCTTCACTGCCCCATGCAAGACCTTATCTTTCTCCTTTAGAGAGAGCAAGCTCCTCTTCTCTGTTGAATGAGGGCACACTCTGCTCCCCCTACAGTGATGAGAAGGAAACATCTAGAGGAAGAGTGGAAGTCTCAGACTTGGGTTTCCCACCTGGCAGTGCAGGGTATCACCACTAGGGCACTGTCTATAATCATTTACACAAAGTCTTTCTTTTAATTAAAATTCAGCAGAAGTAAAGGAATGTTCCAAAGGCATCTGTATTTCAGAAAGGAAATCACTGAGACTCTTCTATGGCTTTAATCAACTATATCACCTTTCAGCACCATCAAAATGGAGAACATGTGGCTGAAAGTTATATAAAATTGACTCACTCCAAATGTGCCTCCAAATAGAGTCTAGGTTTCTCCCAAGCCAATTAGATGCTACAGCCCAGCAAAGTGCAGCACTTTTAACTAGAGAAAAATATCCTGTGACTCCAAGAGGCTATCCATATATTCATTATCAAACACAAAAGATAATTATATCAAGTTCATTTTGTTACATCAACAGTGGCCTACATTCACCCCATTGCCCTACTATAAAGGCCACACGAGGCACCGTATAGAATATGCCTGATCAGTGCCACTTAGGAGAATCCCATTATTCAGGGACCCCCTAAGAAGGCTGGCTATCTGGCTAGAGGACTCAGAAAAACTGGGAAAAGAAAAGATAACCTGTAACTCAGATACCCACTGGGCTTTGAATAAGTTTCTGAGACACTTAAATAACTAAATGCTGTAAATGACTAAATATAGAAAACGACTTTATTACAGTTACTGTTTTCTTCCTCTTCCTGTCCCCCCCATCCCTGTTCTTCAGAATCAGGGAAATGGTTTATTCCAGCAAACATGGATCATTATAACATATTCTCCTCTCTTCATTTTCATTCATGCGCAAGGCACCCTATATGCAAAATTATAGGGTTAGGATTGTTCAGCCAGTCGAGTGATCTGATTGGCTGAACATCGCTAAGTGCTTTTATAATGTGTGTTTGAGAATGTTAATGCCCCATTTTTGTAAACTGTTTACTTAGGGGAAAAAAAATTCACGGGGATGAAAATGTCTTATTCTCAAGCAGGCACTGAACTGCAAAATGGTGAAAGGGAAATCGGGAGCTTCCTATAACTTGCTTGGTGGAAAGTCATTGTTCTACGGAAAACAAGGTCTACAAAGCTTCTCATTTAGGCCACATCTACATTACCACTTATGTTGACAAAACTTACAGTGTTCCAGGATGTGAAAAAAAAACATACCCCAGAGCAACAGTTTCACCGGCTACCACTTATGTTGACAAAACTTACGGTGTTCCAGGATGTGAAAAAAAAAAAAAACATACCCCAGAGCAACAGTTTCACCGGCATAAGTGGTATTGTGTACAGCGCTATGTTGATGGGAGAGCTTCTCCTACTGACCGAGCTACCACTGTTTGCTGGAGGTGATTTAATTACGTCAGTGGGAGAACTCTCTCCGGTGGGCACAGAGCAGCTTCCCAAGAGATCTGACAACGGCACGGCTGCCTCAGCACTGCTGCGTCCCTGTAAGTCTCTGGTGTAGACATAGCCATAGGATGAAACACACTCCTCAAACATCTCAAGCCACAGTGCACATTAAGTTTGCAATTAAATGGATTTCCCCCGTGCAATGCTTATGGCGGCAACCAACACAAAGTGTAAGCAATGCAATGTATGTCGGATCCCTACTTAAGAATGGGGTGAGGGAACCCCGAACTAGCTGCGCCTCCTCCCCAGCAGACCGCCGAGATGCGCCGCGGCGATCCCGCCGCCCGCGTCCTCCGTGGCAAGAAAAGCCGCTCCGCCTCTCCCTGGTCTGCTGCGGAGCAAAGCTGCGGAGGACACGGGTGGCGGGACCGCCTAGACGCG